AAATAAATTAAAAAAAAATTTTTTTTCTGAAACTTAGACTGTATCTCACTTTTTGACATTTGTATGATGCTTACTTTAAAATAAATATTATTAAGTTGCTTCAGCACTGCTTTTACGTTATGTAACAAGTTCATAAAAACTTATTTTTTTGGTACCCTTGGTATTTGTTACTATAAGGCCGTTTTAACTTTTACTATCAGATTATTTCATTGATTGTCTTTACGAGTTTTTTGTTTTTTTATATGTACGATTGTAAGATTAATCGTTTTCGACACATAGGTGTATCCCTTTAAACTTAAACTAATTTTGATATAATTTTACTTAAAGCTACTAGACGACAATGCTTGATAAGATTAATATTTTGTTAACATATTTTGAATAACACCATTTATATCCATATCTTATAATTATGTTTTAAACAAAAAATTGTTTATCTCCGCTGACATACTTTACCCGCATACTTTTTCTAAGAAATTTTTAATGTATGAAGCTTTAGTTTTAGTAAGGCAGCCTTGCTAATTTTTTTAAATAAAATTCCTATTATTCATATTACTTTGATATTTTTATTTGTACTTTTACTCACAACTTTGCTGCTTGTAAGATAATAGTAGACATAGTTGATGTTTTTGAAGCTGGCAAGTAGGCTTAATCTTAATGAATGAAAACTTTTATCACTGACTTTTTTCTTACTCTTGATCAATATTTCTTACTTAATTAAACAAATATAACAAATGAAAGAAAAAATTAAAATGATTCATAAAGCAATGGAGCTTGTGTGCACACTACACTTTATCCTCACACTACCGTAGAATATCCGAGTAATGTAATTAAATACCAGCTAAGATTAATATTTTGTTTTTTTACAATACTAAGCAGAAATAAACACATTGTTTATTTATGTTGCTAGCTCTTAATCAAAGACTGACTAAAAACAGAATGGTTAGCGATCTGACTAAGCAGAAAAGTGCAGTCTCACTCGTATAAAAATTAGTATATTTTCGAAATGGACAACTTATTTTATAAAGACGTATATTTATAAGAAATATAAGTTTTAGTCATTGCATTTAGGTACAAGTTACTAATTCTTTAACTTTGTAAGCATCGAATAATTAAGGTATCTTAAGAATCTAAGATACTTCAATTTTGCAACGCTGTCCATACAAAGAGCTCAGTTTCTGTTAAACATTGGAGTAATAGTGTTTATTTAAGTGATGAACTGATTCCATTTTATAAAAAAAAAGTTTATTAAAACACCACTCTACTTACCGACTCTAATCCTGAATCATTGCCAATGGAAATTTGTCCATTTAGTATGTACTGTACTCCTGAAATAGATCCTGACTGTACTGAAGTGGTACTTTTTGCAGCCTCTTGTAATTCGAAAATTAACTCGTTAGAACCACTGTTAACGTACGTTGCTGATGCTGAAGTTGCCTTGCCATTTTGTGATTTTGTAACATCTAATAACACTTTTAACGATGCGATTGCATGTAATTGTGTAGCTTTGTCATCTATTTCACCTAAAATAACTATATAATTAAACACCAACTCAAGAACAAAAAAGGAAAGTGAATGTTAAAATTTTGGAATGAATTTTTTTTTGTTATTTTTTAAGTATTATAAGGTTCAAGACAACATCTGTGGACAGATTTTTAAATTTTAGTGCTTTATTTTTATAATTAAGGGACTTTTAATTATCAAGGCTTACAAACTAATGTTTATCTTAAGCATAACAAGGAAGATACTTTGTAGTGCAGAAACAGTAGGTGTCTGCTATATAATTAATAAATTTGAGTATAAACTCTTAATAGTAACTGAAATGTGATTACAAAAAATGCAATAAAAATATTGCTGAAAGTTATAATGATTAGTTATTCACGTTACTAGTGCGCCAAAGAAGATTTTCAGCTCGAGTTGTGATTGATGCGCACAAGTGGCCAAAGTTGCTGGGAACGAGTGCCTGTTAAGCACGGCATGGCACGAGTTACTGACATCGGCCATGAGTGCGAATCAATAACACGAGTGCGGGACATCGTCCATACGAATTACGTACAAGATTTTTTGTAATATGTGTGAAAAAAATTAGTATAAATTTTAAAACAAGTAATTTAAATGTAAGTTCAAACGCTCAGCGTCAAACTTAATAGTATGACTCTAACGAGCACACTACTAGCTGAGGAGTTGTTTCTCATTTCAATAGTCAGTATGGTTGTTGGCTTCAAGCACTTTGCATCGTAAACAGCCTTACTTATAAGTCTTGTACGTTGTAAAGTACAGTTTGCTTAGTAATCGACAATGGTATATATTCAGGTTAGTGTTAAGTATTTATGTGTACTATTAAGTTTATTGTCATAATCATGTAAATATGTTTTTATACAGTTTTGTTAACTGCATCTGTTTTTATCTTAATTATTTATTTGAAATATTTATAGTCAAAGTTTTAACTTATAAACTTACAAATTTATACATTGGAGAGAATGGCAAATCAAATGCTTCATCTCAGAACCTGGCGCCGATTCCAAAAGCACTGTGGTAAAAGTGAAAACTATACAGCTGGAGGGTCAAGAGAAAGTTTTTTTATTTCCAAAAAACAAAAGGACCCGTGATCATCACGTAAAACTCTTTGATACAATCGTGGCTAAGAATGTCGCTAAAAGTTTAAAAACTTGAAATAAATTTCGCAACGTTATAGTGACCTTGACTGAAGAGCTGCAAGCTGTTTATTTAGACACAGAAGGTAATGTTGTGTTAAATGATCAGTATTTAGAAGAAGTTAGCACAACATTTATAGATATGACTAATACCAACGTCCAGGAAAGAAGCAGCCGTAGTCTAGCGAAAGATATTGTGTTGAAGAAATTTAATGGTGAAAATTTTAAAGCGTCTTCTTGGTGGACTGTGTTCGTTCAGGAATGTAACCGAGTGAGAATAATTCAAAATAAATATGCTGAAACATTCAGGCTTTTTTTAGAAAAATCAGAGTTGGAACGGTTTAATGTTTCCTTAAACCAAAACGGTTTATCCAAAACTGGAAAGTCTGAAATGATACCTTTATAGAAACTTTCTTAGTGCAATCGTAGACAGACATTGCTTATGCCTATGAGTTTAAATTTCTGGATTGCTCGTTATTAGAGTATGCTTTGAAGAATGCATGAAGGAGTTTTTTATTAGAAATTAATGATTACATCGCTCTCAGTACTTAAATTGATTAAATAGTTATCAAATTGCCGAAATTTGTACAAACTAAGTTAAAGAGAAAAACAATCTTAAACATGGAAGACTTTATGTCTAAATTAAAACATTTTGGGATTTTGAGTGCGGAGAACAGTTCAAAGAAGAGTGAAAAATACTCAAAACCATCTAAACCATGTTATATATGTGAAAAGTTAGGTTCTAAAGAAAAATATCACCCGGAACAAAAGTTTAGCCTTAAAGATAGACAAAGTCAAAATACTTAAAATGATAAGATTAGGATTGTAAATAATGTAGCCTGCGACAATTTAATAGCAAGCACCGCAGAGGCAAAAAACGAATATAGTTGTCGCACTTATTAGATTAAAAATTTTTGTTAATGATTCTTTAGCTATAGGTTTATTTGATTCTGGAGCAAATACATCATTGATTACTCAAAAATTTTTGAACAAGTTAAATAATGTCAATAAAATTATGAGTGGGGGAACAAACCTCAAAGGCATAAATGGAGTAACAAAATCCGAGGGTACGGTTGAGTTAAAAGTTAAAAATTTGTAACATACAAGACAATTTTTCATCCTTTTCAGTGAAGAATAATTTCTTCACTGAGAATATATTAATAAATTTGGATTAAGTTTAAAAGTTTAAATTATGTCAAGATAAAAATTTAAAAATTACTTCAAAATACTCTCAGATTAAAAACGAAGCTAAAGGGAAGAACGTTAATATAAAAATAAATACGATTCAAAATTTGGTAAAAGAAACAGATAATAGAAAAGATTTTCAAAACAAAATTAAAGAAAACAATAATATTTTTGCAAATTAAAAAATTGATACAGGGAAAATTAAAGATTATAAAGCCTTTATAAAATTGACAGAATATAAAAATATTTTAAGGAAGCCTTACAGATGCTCATTTCAAGACAGGGTTGAGATTAAAAAGCAAGTAAGTGAATTGTTAAAAGCAGGTTTATTCGAAGAATCTTGTAGCCCATGTGCAGCCTCAGTTACCATGGTTTTTAAGAAAGAAGAAGGAAAAAGATCTTGCTTTTGCATAGATCTCAAGGAACTCAATAAAATTGTGGTGCAAGAAAGTCAACCATTTCCGAGAATTGATGATTTGACACTATGTGCTAGAAATTGCAAGTTCTTTACAAAACTTGATATTAATTCGGCTTTCTGGTCGATACCAGTACGTAACAAGGACAGACATAAGCTAGCATTTGTAACACACCATGGTCATTGGCAGTGGAATTACCTACCATACGGATTGAAGTCTGCTTCGGCAATTTTTCAAAGAGCTCTATCTAGTACTTTAAGAAAAATAAATTTAAATGAGTTTGCGGTAAATTATATTAATGACATACTTGTATTTTTTAAATCTTATGAGGAACATATAAAACATATAAAACAAACTTTAAAAGCATTAGAAGATTAAGGTTTTAAATTAAACGAAAGAAAATGCCAATTTTCAATGAATGAAGTTACATACTTGGGTCATAAAATTGGCAATAACTTAATCAAACCTATAAATGATAATTTGATAGCAATTAAAAATTTTTCAATACCTCAAACAAGAAAACAAGTAAGATAATTTCTGGGAGAAATAAACTTTTATTTGGAATACATACCACAGCACCCTATTCTATAGGATCCGCTACATAATTTGTTGAGGAAAAATATAGAATTGACTTGGTGAAAACAGTGTAATGTTAGTTTTGAGGAAACAAAAAAGTTACCCAGCATTGGAAATTTTTGATGAGGAAGCTCCTATAGATTTGTGCCAGTATCGAGGGAGAAGATGCTGTATTGAAACAACCCCAGGAAGATAATTCAATAAGAACTGTTTTTTACTTTTCAAAAAAGTTAAACAAAACACAGAAAACAAAAAAGCTATCTTCATTGAATGTTTAGCTATATAAGAAGCAATTTTCTATTGGCAATGTAACTAAATAGGTAAGAAGTTTATGATTTTTACAGATCATAGGCCATTACAGAATTTTAATATTAAAAACCGTAATAATCCATAATTGATAGCTCTATTAAATTACGTATCACAATTCAATTTTGACATTATCTACTACCCTGAAAAGGAAATTTTGGAAGCTGACTGCTTGTCGAGAAATCTAGTTTCACAGACAAGTGAAAGTTCTGAAGATAAATCAGTGATAAAAATAACAAATTTTTTACATATTATAGAAATTAAAAATGATCAAAAGTTGATTAAATTAGATAATACAGGTGTAATAGAGTATGAAATTGTATATAAAATACTCAAGAATAAAAAGAAAATTTAGATGACAGAATAACTAGGCATTTCAATCATTAAAAAAGTTCACTTGGAACAGGGACACATAGGCATTAAACAAATGATTCTAACAACATGCCACAAGATATATTTCGAAAATATGTATAAACAAATAAAAAATGTTTGCAATAGCTGTGGAACATGTGTTAAAAACAAATCAAGAATAGAAGGTTTTAAAGCTCCATAGTAACAGCTGGGACCAGCTAAAAGACTCTTGAAGTAATGTCAATGGATACTATTAGAGGTCTAAAAGGAAGAAGTACCAAGAGATATCTGCACTTACTAGTAGATCATTTTACTAGATTTGCATATTTTAGCACATCTAAAACACAAGTATCTGATAAATTCATTAATTTAGTAAAAAAAATAAAACAAAACAATAAAATACAAAATATTTCAACAGATCAGTGTGCAGGAACAAACTCTGCACAATTAAAACAATTTACAAAAAGAGAAAATATATTACTAATTTTTACAGCTGTAGATTGTGTCTTTTCAAATGGCTTGAACGAAAGAACAAACCAGACCCTAGTAAACAAAATCAGATGTAAAATTTATGAAAGTAAAAAAAAGTCCTGGCCAACTATAGTAGAAAAATTCATTAAAGAATATAATAACACAATACACAGTTCCAATGATTTTACACCTAATAATTTGTAAACGTGTATTAATAATAACTTTTTCCTAAAAGAATTAAATGAAAATAATAATGAGAACAACTTAGAAGATAATAGAGAATTAGCACTAGAAAGATCTAAAAAAATACATGTACGAAACAAAATTTATTGTGATAAACATGCTAAAGAAGTTAATTAGAAAGTAGGTAATTTAGTTTACATTTAGAATGGAAATAAATTGAGCACCCATAAATTATAAAGCATAAGATCTAGACCATACAAAATTAAATAGAAAATATCAAAGAATATTTAATTAATACGTAGTGGATTTAGAAAATACGAGTCAAACTATTTCCATGCCAGCAAGCCAGTTTCTTATACGTAAGGTCTTACTATTTATCTTTAAAAGGGGGGATGTAAGTTTAAACGCTCAGCGCCAAACTTAATAGTATGACTCTAACGAGCACACTACCAGCTGAGGAGTTGTTTCTCATTTGAATAGTCAGTACTTTTGTTGGCTCCGAGCACTTCGCATCGTGAACAGCCTTACTTATGAGTCTTGTACGTTGTAAAGTACATTTTGCTCAGTAATCAACAATTGTATAGATTCAGGTTAGTGTTAAGTATTTATGTTTGCTATTAAGTTTATTGTAATAATCATGTAAATATGTTCTTATACAGTTTTGTCAACTGCATCTGTTTTTGTCTGAATTATTTCTTGAATCGTTCATAGTCAAAGTCTTATTTTATAAACTTACATAAATAATAAATTTGAAGCTCATGCACTTTGCATTATTTATTTATAAGAGCTAGATACAACGAATATTAATATAATGAATTTATCCATTATCAAAAGATAGTTTAATGTCAAGTAAAAAAAAATA